ATGGATGTTGGAAAGACAAATACCACAAATGTGTACTGTAATAGTATATAGAATGAATTAACTCTACTGTGATTCCTAAAGTTTCATGGTTACATAGAATTTATTTGGAACTAATACATGGCTGTCATTACTCACTGTCTTCTTTTCCCCAATTGAATAGTGCAGCTAAAACAGTACCCATCTTAGATATGGTGAGGTCGCTCAAACTGAACACAGTGCCTACATATGGTAGGAATTAATAAATGTTTATGGTGCTGCTAAAATGGTAGTTTTCTTGCAGCATACTTACTGCTGGGGACAAATACTTCTTGATAAATATTCTTTGGTGTTGGTTGACAATAAATACACATAAAACCCTTTTTTGTTTTAAATAAAGATTTATTTATGTATACAGAACTGGGGTACAGGCCAGAGGTGAAAGGACAGTGAGAGGATTCACCAGAGACAGAGTGGGTAGCTGAACAGGCCGACTGATGAAACACACTACTGAGAGGAACAGTGGGCGGGTCAGTAGAGATCTGCCGTGCCATGTAGGTCACCTCTGGGGTGGGGATCGAACTCATGCTGAAGTGGCTTTAACTTCTTAGTGCTGTGCTTTAACCCGCTGTACCACTAGGGAGGGCCCTTGTATAGCCCTTTTTTTTTAAAAAAAAAGATTTATTTGTGCATACAGAATTGGGGTACAGGCCAGAGGCTCAGGGAAGGCAAGAGGCTTCACCAGAGACAGAGTGGGGAACAGAACAGGCAGATCGACGAAGTACACCACTGAGGGGAGCAGCGGGCAGGTCAGGAGAGGTCTGCCACGCCATGTGGTCACCTCCGGGGCAGGCAGGAATCGAACTCTTGCGGAAGTGGCTTTTAACTTCTTAGTGCTGTGCTTTAACCCACTGCACCACCAGGGAGGGCCTGTATAGCCCATTTTTAATGAGCACTAAGATTATGCTGGCCAGTGTACAGTAGTGTAGAGCATGTGTAGGGATGTGTGGACATAAATGTGGTCCATACAAGCTGTCGTCACAGTATGTGCTTCCTGGACTACAGAGGAAGAGATTAAAAGATTTGAAAAAAAAAATTTTTGATTCCAGAGACTGGCTATAGTTCAAATAAAATTTTGTTTAGCATCCTTAGGCAGTGATGCCAGACATCTCTCAGCTCTTAAACTATTTGGTGTCCAAACAGTCAAGAGTACAGGGGAAAAAAGTGGCAGGAAAAAAATGTTCAGAGAACTTCCTGTGACAGGTCAGAGTTTAATCACAGCAAATAATGCAGATTTCCCTTTTATTATAACCACAATAGAAAGGCAGAGTATGTGTTTACAAAGCATGTTGTTTTGGAGACCTTTGTAAATTTTAATCTTTGGAAATCCCAAATCTACTGGATGTAATCCCATCCATTAGATGAAGGCAACTTGCCTATGCAATAGATCCAGAATAGCAAGTTAAATGGAGAACACGCACAGGAAGCAGTCATTAAGAATTACAATGGGTAGGATGCAGAGTTAATTCACAGAGATATTTTGTTATGAGATAATTACATCACTGGGACAGCTGGGGAGCTGAGTGCTGTGCTGGACTGCAGTGCTTGCTCTCTGCCCTGCAGCTGGGGGTCAGGACAATAGAGACAGCGAGAAAACTTACTTTATGGGATAGTTAGGGGCTTGGCTGACTAAATTGTGAAAGAATAATGCCTATCTGCCGTTTTTGGCTTGCTCTTTGCACAGCTAAACTGGATTCACAGACTTAGCAAATGCTGAGAACCACTTTTCACTTCTACTTTTTGAATGTTCACTTGGATCACATTAAACTAAGCCCTGATGGATAAAAACTCCACGGTAGTTTTCATTTCCTCTAAAAATCTTCTGAGATACTTTGTTCATATTAACAGAGCATGGCTATAATTCTCTTGTGGAACTGTAGTCATAGAATCATTGAGAAGGCTTTTTTAAGTCATTTTACTAGCCAGCCAAAAAAAAGCACCTAGTCTTGAGATGTTGGTCAACACAGGGATTGTACAGTTGAAGTTATTTTCCAGTGTTTATGATCAAATGTTCAGACCTGTCTGAGTCTTGTTTTGCAAGAGGAGGAGTAATAGGTAGCCTAGCCACATTCCTCATTGATTTAAATAAATTTATTTACAGATCATTAACCTCCTGCCAAATACCAAGGATTTCGGCTCTTGTTTAGTTGATTTGCTTTATGTGTGAGATTTATTTGTTATGGTAAAACATCTATCTTCTTTTTATTGCCCACCAAAGTGACTATGATTTGATTTGGGTTAATTCCAGAGGGAATTACTGTAGACAAAAACATCATAAATATTATTTTCTGTAGTTCCTAAGATTAATATTTATGACTGTTGATTCAAAATGCATTTCCTACCCATTATGACTAATAAAACTTAATTTTATTGTGATAATGTTTACAAAACGATATAAATCAAACAACATTTCATACTTTAGTGTAGAGCTGTATTTCCCAAAGTGTCTTCCGTGGAGTGCTAATCTACATAGCACATGTTCATGGAGTATGTGACTGGCACTAGAAACAAGATGGGGGTGTTAATAAGGTCCTCCTAGGTTTCCACTTCCTTTGATGCCTCTTGTGATTTTCTAAAGGTAAATGTAATGCTATCCATTCCTCAAATTAAGTTAATAACATCTTAAAATAAAAAAAGATTACCTCCTAGAATCAGTTCCACTTTCTTAAAAGTCACCAATTAAAATCAGTGTCTTTTTTCCGTGGCTTATCATGTGGGGCCTCCAGCCATTGTCTGCAGGGAGCTCATCTTTGCATATCTCCTGTGTATGGAGTCTGATTGCTGCAGGTGGCATCCGTGAGTTTTAACATAATGAAGAGAGTAATAAAACTTTCAGGAAAGTAACTTGGGTGTGTTGGATGTTGATCTTGAATTGTGTCATACAGAGTGTTTGAAAACGGTTTCAGTGAGATGAAGCAACATAAGCTGACTGCTGGGGCTGTTAGGTAACTAACAACGGTTGGGGAGCAGGTGACCTTTTGGTTTGGCAGTGTTTTGTGATCACTTCGTTCTCCAGTTACATCCCTATCAAAATTTTTTTCCTCTTGGAAATCGCTAAAATAGTTATATATTATAAACTGTAAGTGTAGTAATCACTGGAATTACTAATGTCAGTGATCCGAGGCAGGGGTAAGCAGTGTGTGCTTTAAGTTAAGGAAATCTGTTAATTACAGTGGAGAACATTTTTAAAGGAATGTTTAAGAAACAATTGTAAAGGTACAGTTCCCGTGTTTGCATGTGATTTTTGGTTCACTGCTGTTTTATTTTATCACAAAAATAGAAATAATAGATACAAAGAAGTTTGGTAATTGTGGAACCCCTTTTCCTTCTAAAGAAGGGAGAAAAAGGTATAGCTGTCCAAGACTTAATGAAAGTAGGTGGTTAAAATGAACCTGTGAATAAATGGTAGTTACCTCAAATTGCCAAATTGAGAGTGTTGTTTTCATACACTTTCCTGGTGTCAAACTCATTCATGATAGCAAATTTATTTTTCATAGTATCATGTTCATATGATTTATGACATTATCTTTAATAAATTAATTAGAAGTTTTTTTACTACACAAGAATAATTTTTCAGAAAGGAGTAACTTTCTCCTAAAATCACACTAGAATTTAGGAAAACATAAATTGGGAAATAGGTGATTAAACTTTAGAAATCAGAATATTTGGAAGTAGATAAATGTGAAAAAAAAAATCATGTGCTCTTAATTGAATTTAATGGAATTTTCGAACTCACCCCAAACTCTCCATAATTAAAAAGTAGTTTAGGATTGGCTGTAAAGTGTATGTGGTGGCTGATGGTGGTGTTCGTTCCCCGCCTTCCAGATATAACGTTAATTATAGTGTTCTTTAGTTTCTTTTAATGTTTAACATAGATTCATGGAGACTTCCTAAATGTTGTGGAACCCATATAGTCCAGAAATGTAGTAGAGGAGGGGAGGGCTAGGTTTTAAAAATTTATCAGGAGTAATATACAGAAGGATAACTGAGAGGCAACCCTGCATCCTAATGGTTGAGTATATGCACACTGCAAATTTCTTTGCATACTTGTCAAGTTTTTTAAAGTGAAAGAAAACAATATGAATCATATTTTATTAGTATATTACAATCTTGTTCAGAAATTTACTTGCAGCTTGCTTATGGGTGGTTAATTGAATTCTTCTAATCTGTGGTGGACATCTCCTTCCTGTGCTATGTGTCCTTTCACTTGAAAATTTATTTCTAAAACTTGAATTTTGAATTAGTTGTATTATTTTATCAAAGAAATTGAATTCACCACTCTAACTTTAGTTATAAAAGTCTGCTCATCTATATCTTCTAAGAGTGTTAAGGTTTACCAATGTAGTTTATCCCTCCCCTTCACCACCACCACCCACCCCCGCCCCAGGTTAAAGTTTCAGTTTTGATTATTTGGATTTTGGAATTTTAAAACTTAAGAATGTATGGCCTTTCCAAGGAATGATCTGATTTAACAGGATAAGAAGGCACTGTTACAACTAAATTTCTTCATGTTCCAGCATACTTTTTCACAGGCAAACACTTAAATACCCAGAAAACTTTTCATTTCAGAGTCCAACATCTCCAAAATGCTTAATCTGTCCTTTAGAAATGCTCAAACTGTTAGCTAAAATGAACCATATTTTTCCTTGGCTATAGATTTTAAAACTGTCTCCACCCTCAAAATCTATAAAAGGGATGAACTCCAAACTCCAAATGAGCATTTCTTATGCTGTTACCATGTGACTTTCTCTCTGCTACTGCTGGGTCATTGACACTTAGCCAGGTACTTTCAGTGCTCCTCTCCTGAGCTTTTATGTTAATAATGAAATATCATATGCCCTTAAGTATCTTATAAATGATCAGCACTGACATTCACAATGATGATATCAAATTGAGGCACGTATGTGAGACAGGTTGCTTCTTTGCTTATTGACACCTACTTAGTATCTCCTGTTTTCTTCTAGGTTGTTTGATGTGTGCACAGTGTCACGCACAGACAGAGAGACCAAACTAACATTAGTGTTTGAACATGTTGATCAAGACTTGACAACTTATTTGGATAAAGTTCCAGAGCCTGGAGTGCCCACTGAAACCATAAAGGTACTGAGAATTATTTTTCTGTCTAATTAAACAGTCATATTATTAGTCTTATTAGTCTTATTAAGAAATGGCATTTTTTTATATTTAATTGTGCTTTTTATTTAAATTGACAGAATTGGAACTGTCTGTATAAATATATCTAATGTAGCATAGTGGAGTGTTTAAAAAATGGGATATATTCTACTTTATTAGAGTGTATCTTGGGAAAAACTCTGTATTTGTAATACATGTTAAAGCCATTGAAAAACATGGTGATGGACTACAGGTGATTTTGTGGCAGGTACCCTACAATGCCAATACCTGATGGGGAGGATCTTAATGTTATTATTGAAATTAATAAACTGATAAAAAAATTAATAGTTTTAGAGTTATAAATTAAAATAGTTAGAAATAAAAGAGCACATTTTTTTAAATGTTAGAAAAAGATCTCTATACATTATTTGGCCCTAATTGTATCAGAAAATTGGTGTGATGAATATAGTCCAGTTTTCCTCTGATGTTTCATGAGCAATGAAGGACATGATGTGAAACTTCATTCATGTGCTTACTGAATATAATAACTGTATTAATTATATGCTGATTCCAGAACATAGCTGTGCTATATAAATTTGTAATAATGGTTGTTAAACACTTCTTCATTTTTTTTTCATTCACAAACATTTATAGAAAGCCTGAATGCCTGGTACCATTCCAATCTCTTGGAATTCATAGGTGACCTAAGACACCTTGGAGGTCAGCAAGATAGAGGCTGTATTGACTTGTAGTTCTTTATAGGTATTCTGCTTAATGGAACTTCCCTATAGGTCTTTTAGATTTATGCACTTCCTGGGCAGGTCTTCATGAAGGTCATTTAAACAGACTCCTTATCAATTCATTGTTTAGAAGTGAATTACAGAATTCAGCGTCATTTTATATAGTTTATTTATAGCAGAAAATAATTTGTGTTCAATCTTAGCTGATTTTTCCCCCATTATGGCACCAAAGTAAATGTTTTTGAAAATCATAGATATTATTGAAAACTTTACAATATTAGCACATGCCATGTTGCAAAATAATGACAACCATATAAAATATTTTAACATGAAGATATAAGAAAATCGTTAGAGATATATAAGAATCATTCAGGCTAAGCAAGCTGTCCTCAACTATGTGTCCCTTACAATGTTTTCTGTGGCAGTTACCTATTAAAGGCCCTCCTAAATTCAGGATATTCTGTTGCACATCAGGACCTAAATTACTGTAGGTGAGCAATGCTTCAATGAAACTGGACGTACCCTGGTCTCTAACTGGACATCAGGGTAAAACCTTTTTGTTCAGGGCCATTTTCATTGATGTGTTTGTTAGAAACAAGCCCATGATAACAATTTTTCAACTGCATTTAATGTCCATTTGTTTTTAAAAAATAAAAAAGGAGGAAAACCACCCCTGAAGATCTAAGTATTTGTGAAGGTTGATTGTTGAGTGAACTCATTGAGGAAATCCTGTAATTATTGCATGGTGCTCACGTCAGACTTAGATAAAGTAAGTGAAGGGTGTAGGCCTGCTCTGAAAATTGTCAGTGAAAGACTCATGAGAATAAAATAAAGTCATTGGTACTCTTTACAAAAATTTAAAAATACCCAGTTCTAAGCACACATATATAAACATACATCTTCATCTCATTTATATTTCACGTTAAGGTGTTCATCACATTCTTCAGTCTTTTTTTTTTTAATTGTGCTTTTATTGAGGTAATGCTGATGTATAGCACTGTATAAGATGTTGGAGTATAGGTTCACAACTCTTCAGATGGATACTTCCACACCATGCTTACCACCAAAACACTAATAATATGGTCCTTTGGGTCCCCTCCCCACTTTGTTCCACACTTTGTTCCTCCCACTTTGGCAGCTTCAGTTTTACACATTTCTAAGATTTGTTTTGAATTAGTTTTGTCTGTTTCCTTGCTTCACCTTTTTACATCATACACATGAGTGAATTCTGGCTTTTCCTTCTGACTTACCTTGCTTGTCAAAATATTCTCTGGTTCCATCCATGTTGTAGCTAATGGCAAGAGCTCATCTTTTTCTTTTTCTTTTTTTTTTAATAGCTGAGTAATAGTCCATGTTGTAAATATACCACATCTTCCTTCTGCACTCATTTGTTGTTGGGCACATACATCATTTCCACAATGTGACTATTGTAAATAGCACTGCAGTGAACACAGGTGTCCATGTATCCCTTCAAATGAGTGTTTTGTATTCTTTCAATAGGTAGCGTTCAGAGTGGGATTACTGGATCACATGATAAATCTACTTTTACTATTTTGTGAATTCTCCATACTGTTTTTTTTCAAGGGCTGGACCAATCTACATTACTACTACAGTGCGTAGGAGGGTTCCTTTTTCTCCACATACTTTTTGGTCTTATTTACATAGGCTATTGTCCCGTGGGTATAAGGGAATGTCTCTTTGTGGTTTTGATTTGCATTTCCCTGATATTTAGTAATGATGAACATTTTTTTTCATTGCCTGTTGTTACACCTTCTTTGGAGAAGTACCTCTTTACCTCTGCTGCCCATATTTTGGTTGCATTGTTTTCTTTTTGTAAAATTGTATGAAATCTTTGAAGATATTGCATATTAGCTCTTCGTTGGATGTATAATGTGCAACTATTTCTTCTCATTCAGTAGGGTAACTTTTTGTTTCAGTGATAATTTCTTTCATAGAAATTGTTTTTTATTTGATACAGTCCTGTGCCATTAGAGTTGAGTTCCCAAATATCACTGCATCCAATGTTGAGGAATATTTTCTATGTTTTTTTCCACGTATTTTATGGTTTTCAGCCTTCCATTCAAATCCTAAATCCACTTTGAGTTAATTTTTTATACGGTACGAGGCACTATTCTAGTTTGTCTTTTACAAATATGACTGTCCTAAGTTAAGTCCATGCATGTTAATGATGCCATTTGTTTAAAGAAGCCTCTAGACTATTATAAGTCAACAGAGTTTGCCTCACAGACTTACTGCCATATCTAGTCTTCCTCTTTCTAATTCATAACATTATCTTTAAATCTGCTTAATTGTAGAAAAAATCAATAGTATCTTTATTTAAATTTTTATTTGAGATTTAAGATTGATTTCCACACTTGGAGGTAGTAGTGATTGACATCTTAATAATTACCTGAGGTTTTACTTTAGTGTTCATGATAAATGTAGACTATCTGTGCTTATATAGCCCCTTTATTTATGGAGACTTTATGAGAAGAAAAAAAAATAGTTTTTAAGTGGTTATCTTTTCTCTTGTATACTTTTATTTGTCCTTTGAGAGGAGATAGGAAAGAACTGTAAATAAATTCCCTCTTTTTGTTCATTACTCATTTGTAACTGTTACCTAGAAAAAGAACTGTATAGCAGGTGGAGATCCCTGTTTAAAAAAATCTCCTGTTTTGTGATCTTTCACAGAGTAAAGCCATCCTTTTTTTTTTGGATTAAAACAATTGTGTACCAAATAATTCACTTGGTACTAGGGTTGCCCGTGTAGAACATTATCTTCTCTACTGTATGAGAAGATACACTCAGCTGTCTTGCCAACTCTTTGAGAACCTACTGTCAGTCTTTGCATATTCTGTATATGTAACAAATTTGATGAAATTGACAGTATAATCTCACAGGTAGAAATTTGAGGCCTGAAAGGTCACTAAGGAGATCAGCCACCTCTCCAAAATACAACTGTTCTTTTAGCTAAAGACCATATGGCCTCTTGGATGACTCAACCTTGGAATAAAAATTGTATTTTACTTACATATCTCTATGATAAATGAATTCTATATGGGCTTGAGAAGGCAAAAAAAGCTCAAGGTTTATGTATCTGTGTGAGTCATTTTCTCTGAATTAGATTTCATTTTATCTTCAATTGAATATTTCTTAGAGATTTCTGTTGATTGTAATATTTTCAGTAAGAGATAAAATGTACTATTAGGTTTATTTTACAAAACCCAGACTTCAGAGACTGACACACACTCTTAATAGCACCTGTTTTCTGCCTCTGGGAAATATCTGTTTTCATGAATAATATCTGCTTGCAGTAAACAGAGGATCTGGTGTCAGTATGGGATGTCCAGGACTGATTCATCTTTCTCAATTTGACATAATGCAAAATGACTGACTGGTCTCCCTTACCACAGATGAGGAAAATCTCGGAAAGCCTTCTTTCTCTGGGAATCAAACCATGGCCCCTCTCAGCTCCTGGTGGTCTCCACTTTGCCTGAATTATGAGCAGGTGATTTGTCTCATCTTTGCAGGACACAGAGCAAATTAACATGAAAATATCGCTTCTCAGAAAACAAGGCAGGCTTGAATGCCCTGTCGCTGCTGGTCATTAGCCATCTGCCACTGACACTCATACTCTGTTTATCACATTTGAAATTCAGAGCAGATGTTGCATAATAAGGTGATCCCAAAAACAAGACGAAATTCAAAGAACAAATACTCCACACTAATGATAAGGCTCCTGGAAGGATTTTTTTTTTTTTTTTCGATTTAATATCGTGACTTGATAATTGAGTATAGTCCATTTAAAAAACACACACACACAGGAACACATGTACATCCATCATCCATCTTTCCTGGTGTTCAGTGCAAAGTGCTTTTCATAGTAACATGAAATAATTTTCAAAGAAAGTGCATGTGTGAAAATTGCCTCAGAGGATTTTTTAATGAATTAGTTTTAATCAGCAAAGTAGCATGTGAAATAACACTAGTTCTGGTGCAAAGGACCTCATAGATCAGCCATGCTAGTATTGATTTTTATTCTGAGGGCCAGGACTTAACAGCACTTTGGCCAAAAGAGTCCATCCCAGTAATACAGTTGGGTCTCTGAGGAGTTGGAGTTCCCCATTGTGGCTTCTCAGATATTTAATTTTCTTTTTGATCCTCAATATCCTATGTTCTCTATATCTTTTCCCTTTCCCACACTATCTTACTCCCTCCCCAAGTAACCCCACTGCCAGTCTCACCTCA